GTCTTTTCTACACCTTTAGAACAATATATCTGTGATGTTCTTGATCTTGAAGCAATTGGATTTGACAAGCAGTAGGCTTTTTGTCAAAAACCTTGCTGAACTACAATGGGTACCAAAACCACCAACTGGTTTCACCTGAAACGCAATAGAAAACTTTAACTTGTTTGAGGAGTCAATTTTATGAGAATCTATTGACTAGGTTTATCCTCCCTTCTTTCTTTTTTTATTATTTATTTTAAATCAAATTCATCAAATCTCATTCTGCTTGTGTGATTAAGCCCTCTTATCAGAAATCTGACTAGTCCTTGCTAGCTTGACTAATGGAGCAACCCTTTGGGTGATGTCATATCTGCCTTTTAGGTATTTTGAATCTTTCTTTTAGTTAAGTTGGCCTATTCAGTGAGCCTAATGTATGTGTTGTTTTCTTTTTGTTGTTTTTGTTCGCTTTTGTACTCTTGCTTTGCTATGATGCAATGTTATTTATTTTTATTAGCCAAATTTTTGTTTTTTCCAATTTATGTCATGTAAGTAATTTTCCAAACCCATTAAATAAAAATTAAAGCAGACCTATGAGATTTGTGTAATGTAAGACTCCTACTAAGTTTATGTATGGCTTTAATATAGTTGATGTGACAGTCAAAGCCCTACTAACTGTTTGAAACTTGAATTTGGTTAGATTTATGGAAAGAAACTATAAAAAAAAAAATTAGCTTGTAGAAAATTTACATTTTCCTTCTATTTTGTTTTGCCATCTTAATTATTATTATTATTATTATTATTATTATTATTATTATTATTTATTTATTTATTTATTTTTTCAAATTCAAGATTTAGACCGGCTGAAGTTTTTATAAAATTTGGGGCTTGAGTTGATCTGGTGAAATTTGAAGAATCCAAGTAAATTTTGGGTAAAGTTGGGGGTGAACTCTTTGAACTTTTTGCGTCCAAGATGGAAGTGGTGATTACAAAGGGTTGGCGTTGAAAAGTTGGCTAAAATTACAAGAAAATATTTTTAAAAATATTTTGCATCTTTTTGGATGTTTGGTATGACAAATGTTTTTTTGTGATAAATGGAAAATAAGCTCATTTAGAAAGAAAATCTTTCAATTTTTAAAAGTGAAAAATATTTTGCAAACTAAAGCTTTTTCACCATAACCGCTACCACAACCTCTATGATTCGACCATCACCAGTATTGCCATTACCATCCTGCCATCTCCACTACCAGACCATTATCACACCAGCATCACTACTACCACCACCACAACCACACTAGTACTACCACTACTACAGTTATGGTACGTTCACAAGAAAATGTTATGGATAATGTTTTTAGGGTGCATAGTGCAAATTTAATGTGCTCTAAGTCTTTTATTAAAATATTCATTATGTCAATGACATAATTTTTTTTAATAAAAATTTTACACTAAAATTCTGTTTGTTTTGATGTAAAATGTTTTTGTCAAAAATATTTTATTATTTTTTGTTGTTGGGTTGAACAAGAAGTAAGAAATATTTTTGAAGAAAAATATTTTTGCATTATTTTTTCAAAAATAAATTACTTTCAAAAATTTATAAGTCAATTTTTATAAAGTTGACTTTCACTTGTTACATTTTCACCATATTTAGCATTTTCAAATAAATATCTTAACTCACTAACAAGTCATAAATGATTATTTATTAAATTAAAATTTCTTATTTGGGCAATTAAATATTTTTTATTTCAAGTGTCAACCAAACGCTGAAAAACAAAAATATTTTTTTATGTGTAAAATCAATTTACAAGAAAAATATTACCAAGTTTATTTTTGAAGGACTCAATAATAGTAGTTGTGGAGGGGAAAAAATGAGCCCTGGCCTAAATCCAATTACGTTAGCCCAAGTCAAAAAGTGATAAATCCAAATCCATCCCATACAACCCATGAAGGACAACTAACAAGAACTTGGCATCCAATCAAGGTATGTGAAGGGACAGACAAATATAAAAGATAATAATTTAGAAGGCAAATCTATAAATATAAAAGAGAGGCGTAGGATTAAGTATCATCCAACGGTGACGAGTATAGAATAGACAAGATTAAGACATAGGTTGGACTTAGTAAGAGACAGAGTTGTTCGATAAATTTAATCCTACGAACATAATGCTCAGCAAACTAGCCACTAACATTTAACATCATCCAAGCCGTCCATGCACCAGAGATCTAATGATCAAGGACAAGGCACACTTGGCAAGTTGCCCAACCAAAGCCAGGTATGGGCAAAACCGTTCGATCAAAACAAGATTCGATGAATGAGATTTGAGTCAGAATAACTATAAATGGGTAAGCTAACAAAGTACAAAGGAACGAATAATGAATCTAATCTAAACCAATTAAGGTTGGGTAAAATACCGTCCAATAGACTAAAACTGCACCGATCTGCATCAATTTGCACCGTTCTATTCGCTAACCGCGAATTAAACTTTAAAATTTATAATCCATGTTCTAAACCGTTCTGCTCCACTATAATTAATACATATATATTTTTTAACCTCTAATGAAATATCAAAGTAAAAAATAAGTGTGAAAAAATTTAAGATGTGAAGTTTGTTATAAATTAATAGTTATATATATATATATATATATGTGAAACATATTATGTAAAATTACTTTGTGTTGTATATATAAAAAATATTATGCAAATTTGTATTATATATTATACAAATATTTAATAATTGGTTAAATATTTTTTATTTCGTCAATCCATCCAAAACCACCCAAACCGTTATTTGTCAATCTGTTAATCCGTCAATTTGCCATTCGATTTGTAATTTTACTCTCAAACCATCTGAACCGTACTACGCACACTCCTGAACCCAATCATGCTCAATCTTAATCAATTTCTACTTCAAAAACATTTCCTTTCTTATATTTAAACACTCTGGTTGAATAATGAATCATGAAACATGTCTCAATATAATCTTTTTAATTATAGTGGAAGTGGACAAACTGCCAGTGATAAAAGTTTGATGGCTTTTTTTGGGTGTTTATTTACTTTCTTATTGACTTATTTTATTTTTAGTGAATATTTTTTTAAAAAATTTAGAATTTTAAATTTTACTCAAAAAGACTAATTGATTTTTTTTTTTTAAAAAAATCTAAAAAAGACAAAAAAAAAAATTTTAAATTCTCCTCGGAAAGACTAAGTAAAAAAAAAATAATAAGACAAAAAAAAAACCAATAATAGTAACTATTTTGGCTTTTTATAATTTTTTTTAACTTTTTAAATTTGTCTACACAAAATATACCTAAAAAGTAAGAAAATTTGATATAATTTTGGAAAAAAAAAAAAACTTAAAACCAAAAAATTCGAGAAAAAATGTGTTCCAAGTTATCTCAAATAGTCTCTAAACTTCCATTTCTTTTGTCTGGTGATAGTTTGGTTACATTTGCTTTTTTTTCTTTTCTTTCTTTCTTTTTTGAACTAGTTCTAAAAAATTTCATATTTTTTTTAACTTTTTAAATTTGTCTACACAAAATATACCTAAAAAGTAAGAAAATTTGATATAATTTTGGAAAAAAAAAAAACTTAAAACCAAAAAATTCGAGAAAAAATGTGTTCCAAGTTATCTCAAATAGTCTCTAAACTTCCATTTCTTTTGTCTGGTGATAGTTTGGTTACATTTGCTTTTTTTTCTTTTCTTTCTTTCTTTTTTGAACTAGTTCTGTTAATTATATTCTGAGATAGCTATGCCTTAGTAATCACATCAAAATTTCATTAAAATTTTCCCTGTTTCAAAAGAAGAAAAAAAATCACATCAATTTTTTTTTCCCTCCTTTTATAATTATATTGTTTGCTGATAAAAAAAAGAAGCTAAAAAACACCATCATTGTGGTACATTTGATAGGTCATTTACATTTGTTGGTTGGCATTGGTAGTCCAAATTTGATAGCTGTGCAACAAGAACATTTATAAACTTCATATAGTTAAATTTCATTTACGAATGACAAAACAAACACAACCTAATCAGATAGACCCGGTCCGGAAGTGACTTTTGGTCAGTCTTAATTTCAAACTCGGTCCAGATTTCTTTCCACAGGGACATGATTCTTTTACAGAAAATAATGTGTTGAGTTGGTCAATCCAAAATTTCCTGTCTCATATAGCACTTTTTCCTAGTAGTTTTATATGATTAAAAGTCATTGACTTGACTGGAGACTACTACGTAGCTACAAGATAAACGAAGACCATTGCCCAAGTCTATACGCCATAAACAAAGACCATTGCCCAAATTTATACGCCGGAGTTAGTGTGCAAGTTGGGCAGATTTGATCAAATTGATAGATTGTTTAACTTAACTCCAATTATGTTGAGAATTGTTCAAGTTTACTCCTGCACAACTCAAACAAATTTTCTTATATGTTCCATGTTCGTAGTTTTTGGGAATTTTTTTTTCACCCTTTCTATTTTTAAAAAGTGCAATGAATTGATAAAGACAACTCAATGCACACCACAATAAATTATTTTGTGTTAAATTCGAGCAACTTGAGCTAGAGCTAAAGTTTTGAAATAAACTCAGTGTTCAGGCTTGGATAAGGGAATTAATAAAGGTCGGACTCGAGCCAAACTAGAGCAAATCCATCTACACTTTGGACCGGGCTTGTACAAACCTTTAATCCGACAGATATCCCTAGTACAATGAAGAAAAACACTCAAACCAAAGTTCACATATAACAAAATACAAAATGCCCGATCTGCAATAGAACATCCATGTTTTGTACTAGCTGCTTTAACCATTAGCATTTATTCCTAAAAAGCATTAGAATTGAGTGGAGTTAGGTCCAGTCGAGCAGAATAAACGCTAATGATTAAAGCAGTACTTCCCCAAAGCTAGTGATGGAATGGAAGAGAAGGAACACTTTGTCTTCAGTAAATAGAAGCAATAGACTTGCCAAAACCGCTTAATGAAAAAAAGAAAAAAAAAAAGAAAAGAAAAAGAAGACGAACAAGAAAAAAGAAACATATAACAAAGGGCTGCCCTCCTAACTCTAGAACAGGCTCTTGCGCTAAAAAATAACCCAAAACCTGCTTGTTTAGAGAATCAAACTGTTCTTATCTGGTTTTTCTATTTTTAATTTTATGACTGATACAAATGGAAACTCTTAACATTCTACACAAAGACTGCTTTCAAAAAAATTCAAAATGCTATTGAGAAGAATTGAACCAAGAACCATGTGTAAACTATGCATGTACTGAAGCCACAAAGCTAAAACACTTCTTATTATTACATATGCTCTTCTTTTTACTAATTCTATTGTACATCTGAACAAAAAGACTTCCATTTTCAAAGTCTACTACGACAATAGACCAGTGGAAAAATGTGTATATAAATTAGAGCCTTGAACTACCCATTAGTTCATCAAAGGGAAAAACAATGGGACTGTTAGAGAAACAACTCTGCCTTGTTTCCTTAGTTCTGTTTGTTACACTCTTTTCTTCAACCATTAATGTTACTTCTGCTTCTGCTAAAGAAGCTAATGCTCTCATCACATGGAAAGCCAGCCTGCAAAGCACAAACCATTCCCTGCTAACTTCATGGGTCCTTCCACCTCATGATCATATCTCAACAAGTGCCGCCCCATGCAGCTGGTTTGGAGTTACTTGCAACGTCGATGGAAGTGTCGATAGGTTGAACCTCACAAATTCAAGTCTAAATGGTACGCTCGACAACTTTACATTTTCATCATTTCCCAATCTTGCATATATTGATCTCACCATGAATAACCTCTTTGGTGTCATCCCACCTCTAATTGGCTCCCTCTCAAAACTCATCTATCTTGATTTGTCCGTCAACCAGTTCTCGGGAAACATCCCACCAGCAATCGGCCTGTTAACAAATCTTGACACTCTCCACCTAGTCGAAAATCAATTGAATGGCTCAATTCCTCAAGAGATAGGCCAGTTAAAGTCTCTTACTGAGCTTGCTTTGTACACCAACAGTCTTTCTGGACCTATTCCTGCTTCTTTAGGAAATTTGAGAAACTTGGCTCGTCTATATCTCTATGAGAATGATCTTTCTGGTCCCATTCCTCCCGAAATGGGAAACCTTGTCAATCTTGTCGAGCTTTACATGGATACCAACAATTTCACTGGTCCCATCCCTTCCACTCTTGGAAAATTGAATAAGCTAACTGTGCTGGACTTGTACAACAATCACCTATCCGGTTCCATTCCACAAGAGATAGGAAAGTTGAAATCACTCCAGGACCTAAGCTTTGAAATCAACAATCTTACTGGCTCAATTCCAACATCTTTTGGTGATTTGAGCTCCCTAACACTCCTACATCTTTGGAATAATCAACTCTCTGGTTCAATTCCTAAAGAACTAGCAAATTTGAAGTTCCTCACCGATTTGGAATTGAGCGAAAATCAACTCAGTGGTCCTATTCCTGCTTCATTAGGCAATTTGTCTACGTTAGAAATTCTTTTCCTTCGTTCCAACCAACTTTCCGGTCCCATTCCACTTGAATTTGGCAATTTGACAAACTTGCTTGTACTAGAAATGGATGACAACCAGTTTTCTGGCAATCTCCCAGAGCTTTGCCAAGGTGGTAAACTTGTAAACTTCACTGTGAACCACAACCAGCTCACAGGTACAATTCCCCAAAGTTTGAAAAACTGTTCAAGCTTAGCCAGAGCTCGCTTTGATGAAAACCAATTCATTGGAAATATATCCGAAGATTTGGGTGCTTCTCCAAACCTGGTCTTCATGGATTTGAGTTACAACAATTTTTCTGGTGAATTATCAGAAATTTGGGGAAGGTTTCCAAATTTGACACTCCTCAACTTAGCGAGGAACAACATCACTGGTAGCATTCCACCGAGGCTTGGAAATTCAATACAACTACATCGACTTGATCTGTCTTCAAATCGTTTAGTTGGGGAGATTCCAAAGGAATTTGGGAAGTTGACTTCTCTGGAGAAGTTGGTTTTATTTGATAACCAACTTTCAGGTAGTATACCTAAAGAACTAAAATCACTAACTGGGCTTTCATATCTTGATCTGTCCACAAATAGATTCAATGGGTCAATACCGGGTATTCTGGAGAATTATCAGAATCTATTTCACTTGAACTTGAGCAACAACATGTTTAGCCAGAAAATTCCATTTCAGATGGGTAAGTTATTTCACCTTACCGAAATGGATTTGAGTAATAATTTTCTTACTGGAGAAATACCATCAGAACTCACAAATTTGAAGAGTTTGGAGAAGTTGAACCTCTCCCACAATAATCTCTCCGGTCTCATTCCAAAGGGTTTTGAAGATATGCATGGCTTGGCATTTGTTGATATATCATACAATCAGTTGCAAGGTCCTATTCCCATAAGCAGCGCCTTCATGAATGCATCAATAGAAGCACTGCAAGGGAACAAAGATCTGTGCGGAAATGTCAAAGGCTTGTTGCCTTGCACAATTCCTTCTGCATTGCCCAAACACACTCTAGCAAAGAGGACACTTGTTCTTATAATCGTGCTCCCTCTTGGCGGAGCACTTTTACTTCTTGGTGCATTCACCGGACTTCTTAGGATCTTCGATCCAAGAAAGAGAAAGTCACAAGTTGAAGGGGGTGACACACAACCCCCGAATGGAGATCTGCTATCGATATCAATATTTGATGGAAGAGCAATGTACAATGACATTGTGAAAGCTACCAAGGATTTCGATGCCACATATTGTATTGGAAAGGGAGGATATGGAACTGTCTACAAGGCGAAGCTACCATCGGGTAATATAGTAGCTGTGAAGAAACTTTATCCATTATCCGAGAAGGCTGACAGGAAAGGTTTCTTAAATGAGGTAAGAGCATTGACAGAAATTAGGCATCGAAATATAGTGAAGCTTTTCGGGTTCTGTTCGCATGCTCAACACTCTTTTCTTGTTTATGAGTACGTCGAAAGGGGTAGCTTGGCTGCAATTTTCAACAGGGATGAAGAAGCTAAAGAATTGGATTGGCCCAAACGGGTCAATATTATTAAGGGTATTGCAAGCGCTTTGTCGTACATGCACCATGATTGCACACCGCCAATTGTTCACCGAGACATTTCTAGCAACAATGTTTTGATTGATGAGGAGTACGAGTCTCGTATTTCAGACTTTGGCACCGCTAAGCTTTTGAAGCTAGATTCCTCTAACTGGAGTGCACTTGCAGGCACATACGGATATGTTGCACCAGGTAAACACAGTTTTATGCTCTTGTAAATTGATGTAGAATCTAAAATGTAAGAAAACAAGTGCTTGATCATGTGTGTGTGTGTGTGTGTGTGTGTGCATGTGTGTGTGTTTTTTTTTTCATTAATTTTTTTGTTTTTGTTTTTGTTTTTGTGTAGAGCTTGCTTACACAATGAAAGTTACTGAAAAGTGTGATGTTTATAGCTTTGGTGTGTTGGCATTGGAGGTGATCAACGGAAAGCATCCAGGAGACTTCATCACCTCTCTGTCAACCTCAGCTATCAAGAACATAGAGCTAAAGGATGTGTTGGACCAACGCCTTGCATCTCCCTCCCTTGAAGTTGAGGAGGTAGTGATGTTTAGTGTAAAATTGGCCATTGCATGTTTGCATGTCAATCCACAATCTAGGCCAACCATGCACATTGTTTCTCAATTGTTATCCACCCAAAAAATTTCGTAGAGGCTCACCTATGTGCACAGAATTGCTGCCCATGAAAATGCACAGAATTGATCCCTTTCTATTTTGCATATTTTTCCGTGCACTAATTTTGTGCACTTAGCAAAACTCGAGCCTCAAAGATAGTTCAAAGCTATTTTGGTTAGTAAGGATGTTAGATATTAGATAAAACCCAATCCTCTCTATTACCTGTTGAAATATACTTTTCAAATACGGATTTTTATTGTAAGAATAAATACTGAAGAGTGAAAATAAAAAAAAAAAAGAGAGATGTATGCTTGGAGCTTTTGTGTGCCATGTGTGTATGGTAGCAGCCGAACCACACACATACGATGTGGCTTCTCTCTTTATTGTCATCTTATTTATTTAATTTTGTGTTGCCTTTATTTTTATTTTTCTTGAATATAAGCCTACCTTGTTGCACCAAAAATTGTTGGCTTCTTTTATAATGATTTGAAAGAGCAATGTTGCTGGGATGCTATTTTCTATTGAATAATTATGTATGAATTACTAAAATGGTTCAAATTGGATGTTGGTAGTGATGACTTTGTGGTGGTGATTCTGGGTTTGATGGTGATTTGAGATTTGGTGAATAAGGAAGAAGGCGGTGGTTTATGATAGAAGCTGTAAAAGAGGGGAGAGGGAGAGAGATTAACATGTTAGGAAGAGTCCATGACAAGCTTGATTCACTTTTTCTATTACAAATAACATCATAAATTTCATCAAATGATGTACTGCAAATTTGTCATTATCAATCTAAATCTCTATTTTTATTTGTTTTTGTTTTGTTTTGGATGGTGAATCTAAATCGCAGTTTTAGTAAATGAATTTTGACAAATTGTATTTAAAAGAAAGTGATATACAAGCCCATTTTCTAGATCCATTTTTTAAACCCAATGATGTGTAAGTGATATGACTGGTTAATGATTAGAGAAGATATGAAAGAGAGTATTGCTTTTAATATCCTAATTGAATGCCACATCATTGGGCTTGAAAATTAAATTAAATTTTTTTATCTTGAATAGCAATGCTTTTAATATAAAGATTGGAGGTTGTAATGAGATTATTAGAAACAGCTATAGCAATACACAAGTATTCTTATATCATCTTTAAAAGGAAATTTGATATTCTTCTTTTCCATTTATAAGGGATCTCAAAAATCTGAATACCATTTATTCAACAAGTATAAACTGTCCATCTATAAAAACTGTAAATTTAATAATCTCAAGTCTTTTTAAAGTAGGGATAACCAAATGATAATTTCAAACATGTAGAGATTTATCACAAGAATATTATTTGTTATTACCTGGCTATGAGGTTGAGATTCTGAACGTGGTTTGGACAAATTCATCCAAAGAGTCAAAACGACATCGTTGTCATAATAAATTGGTGAGCTTCTCTTGTAGCGTGGTAGTTTCTGGGCACACATTCTGCAAATGCTACAAACATTTGGAGAGGATCCAAACACATAAATTAATAAGTGTCGTAAATTATTTTTTATGTATTAATGTGATATTTATTATATTTTTATAATTAATTTTATTTTAAATATTTGAATTTTATCATTATATGTTTAGAAGTGAGTAAAAAAAAAAAGGACAAATTATGCAAATGGTCCCTGTAATTTACCTGTTTTATCATTTTGGTCCCTGTTGTTTCAATTTGATCAATTTTGTCCATTAATTTTACGGATTGTAACATATTAGTCCAATAAATAACGGCGGTTAAGTTTGATGGACGGAAAATCAAATGATGTGTCAATTTGGTCCCTGTAGTTTACAGGATGTGTAAATTTAATCCCTATAGTTTATAGGAAAGTCAAAACAACAAAGACCAAATTAATCCATGTTGTTTCAATTTGATCTATTTTGCTTATTAATTTTACGGATTGTTTCATATTAGTACAACAAATAATGGCGGTTAAGTTTGATGGACGGAAAATCAAATGATGTGTCAAATTGGTCCCTGTAGTTTACAGGATGTGTAAATTTAATCCCTATAGTTTATAGGAAAGTCAAAACAACAAGGACCAAATTAACACATCCTGTAAACTACAAGGGCGAAATTGACACATCATTTAATTTTCCGTCCATCAAACTTAACCGCCGTTATTTATTAGACTAATATTACACAATCTGTAAAATTCATGGGCAAAATTGATCAAATTGAAACAACAGGGACCAAAATGATAAAACGGGTAAACTACAAGGACTGTCGCTGTAATTTGCCAAAAAAAAAAAAACAACGCTTTGTTTTGATTTTAAAGATATGGTTAACTAAATATATTAGTGAAAAGCAATGTTTTGAAAACCGGACCAGTGAGAGAACTGGAAAAAGGACCGGTGGACAGGTCCCCGATTCAACCGTCTGGTCAAAACGGTCAAACTATGACGTCATAATTAATATTATATAATTATAAATTATAAATAAATAAAAATATATATAAATACTCAAATAAAAATAAAATTTGTTGCATAGTATTTATTAATAATATTTAAAAAAGTCATAATTGATAAGAAAAAGTCACTTGTTTTAAAGAAATTAAATTTTTTTAACATTCCCTCCAAACAAATAGATTGAATGCTAGATTTAATAAGGAAATGAAATTTTCAACTCTCCCTTCAATCAATATGATTCAAATAATTTGATTGAATCCCACATAGAATTTTGTAAGTTCTCTTTGAAAAATCTTTTCCTATAAATAGCAATAGACTTTCATAATCTCCTCAAGCTTCAATGAGACTCCTCCTTTAAAATCTAGAGACTTTCATAAATTCTTCTTTAAATAGCTAGAAACCCATTAGCCATAAAGCCCAACAATCACTATAAGAAATAGCCAAAACTCGAAAAGAAATAAACTACATACAACTCTGAATATAATCAATCTTTGTCATTGACTAGTATGGACTCTCTGGACATTGGAGCGTGGTTCAATGGTTTAGTAGCCACACCTTAAGGTGTAGTGAGTGAGAGGCCAAGGTTTTGAGCTAATAGAGTAGCGACAAATCGTTTAGTTGTAATCTAATTGTACTAACATACTAACGCTATCTTTGACCCAAAACAAAAATACTAGGATTGACCCCTGTGATCTCATGAATAGACGTATACAAAAATGGCCAATTAAGCTATCACAATTGGGTAAAATTCTACAACCCACTTGTACCAAAAATAACTAGATATTGTAATTAACTTTTTTTTAGTAACTTTTTATTTATTTTTATAAAGTGAATACCTAGTGTTTGACTTTTTTTTAATGATTTTTCAACAATTTTTTTAGTTTATTGACTTTTTAGCCAAAAAACTTAGGTAAATTACAACGATGATCCTTATTTGTGTCAATTTAGTCAATCTACTTTCAATTGCATTAATTGGAATAATCACACTTTTTACGCTCAGAGTTTGATCTAAAATTTCACTTTAGTTCCTATAGTTTCAATTTAGACAATTTGATCCCTTCACTTAATTTTACTTTCAATTTAGTCTGTCCGTCTAAATTAAAGTTAAAATTAACAATTTTTGGACACTTGTCACTCTAAGTCTAGTTTCAATTTGGTCCTTCCATCTAAATTAAAAGTTAAAATTAACAATTGTTAGACACTTGTCAATTTTCTAAGGTGCATACGCAGACAAAATTAACAAAAAATTAAACAGAAGAACCAAATTAAAACTAGACTAAAAGTGTAAGGACCAAATTGTTCAAATTGAAACTATAGGCACTAAATGAAATTTGGGTCAAACTACAGGAATAAAAAGTACAATTAACCTACATTAATTTTACCCTTGAACTTTGGTTGTTGCTTGTAAGTATTATAATTGCTAATTGGTTGCAATTTTTGACCCTGGATTTGTTCTTCTGAGTTCTTCACAACAATTCCACACCTTTGCATATTGTTCTTGATGACTGCATCTGTGCTTTCCTCTTGGCTCTATAAAGGTGACTCCTCAACACCGCAGCTTTGTGATCCATCTGCTCAACTCCTTTATCATAGTAGGATAAACTATCAACAATGCTTGGTAGTCCAAATTTTCATGGCCTGAACGGCTCGAATGTCTCAAAACGACGTCGTTTCGGGGGTAAAATGACGTCATTTTGATATATTCGAACCACACAAATTCGGGTTACCAATCATTTTTCATTAACTATCAATGAAACATGGAAGTCAAAAGCATATAATTTAAAATTTTGATAAAAGACAATTTTAATCCTTTAAGTATGAATTCATTGTCATAATTTTAATTTTATCATTTTGATTCTCAAAAGTTATCAATTTGAGTCAGATTGGTCCAATTCCAAACGGTTGCATAAATCATTAATGAAATAATTATAATTTCAATTAGGATCGCCAAAGTATATGTTTTGTGTCATTTTAGTCCCTAAAGTATTAATTTTGTCAATTTCGTCCTTGAATATTGTAAGGTTATATTTTATTTTCTTCATCAATGTTTCAAGACCAAATTGACAAAATTAAAAACTTTACAAACCAAAGTATACAAAACACATACTTTAAGAACCATGTGTGGATTTTATTACCATTCTGTTAACTATTTAGACGGTCTGTTTAGAATTGGACCAAATGGACTCAAATTTAAAATTTTAAGGACGAAATTGACAAAATTGAAACTTGAAGTTCCAAAGTGACAAGAAATGCATACTTTAAGGACAAAATGTATTGTATCCTCAAAAAAATTGGACAAACTCTGAAAAAGAAATTAGTTTTCACAACGAGTCTCAGTAACAAGCCCTTGCCTGCAAATAAAAAATGAAAGTGGGTGAAGAGTTACAAACTTACCTTTTTTTTTTTCTTTTTTTTTTTTTCTTTTGAACAGAGAGTTAGCAAGTTACTCAATCACACTAACTAGAAAAAACATTGCTTGGGGTTCAACTGTCAATTCTATCATGGAAAATACTAATCATATTCATTTATGAAACATCACAAGAATGATGTGACAATACTATTTTGATAAATAAATGCTATTTTTGCTGGTGTTTTGTTTTAAGGTAAATGGTTTACATTGAGCCACATCATCAAAATTATCTATAGAAATTATCTATGAATTTTTTGTTTGTATATCATTTCTCTTCTAGCATAATTGTTTTTAAAGATATGAAAGAGCGTCTATAAATTATATTATAGTTGCTATTTTTTGTAACTAGTAAAATAAACATGTTTATTTATTTATGTTTTAATTTTATTTTTTATTTTTTACTTTTATGTATGTAGAAATTAATGATTTAGTGCGTATTTTTTAAAAATAATAATAATTAGTATATACGTTCGCACCATCCTAAGTACTTTTCTCAAATATAAACATCACTAACTTGATAATATACAAAGACCAATTCCCAAGTTTACAAGCCAAAATTAGTTGTTCAAATCCAACTCAACTTATGTTGAGAGTTGCCTAACTCCACTCAAACTTGATTGTTATTCAGACTCATTTGCTTAAGCCTAGGCCCGACTCTACTTGTTTATATGACAATAACAGTTTAGATTATTTTAACATCATTCAACAATTAATAATTTATATGTATGTTTATTTAGAAGCTTTAAGTCGCTCAGGTTGCCTAGTGCCTCTAGGCAAGCTAGGGCTGAATTTTTACCTAAGTTTGTACCGAATTAAAAAAAATATATATATTTGTTGCTCGAACCATAAAAGGATTTTGGACTGTTGAGTCTGCCCAAATTACTCCTCTAGTCAGAGCCAGAATTCAAAAGTATTATCATCACCTAATAAAGATAGGCGTGCCAACTTGAGCAACTTGAGTTTAACTATAAAAATTTGAGAGGTCCGGTAATGTGATTTTAATTTAGTCAAGATTTGGATTAAAATTTGTCAATTCCAAATTAATTTCAATCAAAACCTAGGTAGAGACTATGAGCTCGATCAATCTAAATTCTATTTTTAAAATATATAATTACATATAATAAACATAAAAGATACCCATAAAATATTAATTATTTTTATACAGTTAGATTTAATCTATTGCAAGGAAATAGATTCTACTGTTTGGTGTGTATAACTCAAATTAATTTTCTTATATGCTCCCTATTTGTAATTTTTTATTTTTATTTTTAATAGAAAGTGTAGTTTATTGGTTTAGGACAACTCAATGCTCAACTCAAGTTAAAATTTTTATGTTAATTCAAGAAAATCCTTATACACTTCAAGCTGAATTCGGTCAAGTTGCAGCACTAAGTAGAAATCTGCAAAAGCAGTAAAAAAATGTGTAAGATCACAAACTTCTCTAACCAATAACCCAACCACAACAATGACAAAAAATTGAGAGGAAATTTTAGTTCCCCAAATTATCACTCAAATTAATTCAACCTCTATCCTTCTAATTATATCAATTTTTACATTTAAATTATTCGATTTTGGATCAATTTGTGTAGTATAGATTTTTACCCACTCAGTTTTCAACGTACTACTAATCGATCAGTCCTATTGAAATTTATCCAGGGAATAAACTAGCTGCAATTGCTATGAAAGAGAGAATAAATTAGGAACCGGCTCAAGGTAATTGGAGGCTTAAAGAGACAGTTTTAAATAAGGCTTTCTATATTTTTTTAATATTTTTTTGTAAAAATTATTATTTAAAATTTATTTATAACAAATTATTAATTAAATATTTAAATTTAAGTTTTCTAATATATTCAAGGGTCTAATTGATATTTAGAGATAGTTTAGGAGGGAAAATAAAATTTTAGATAAAGTTTCGATGCCGTGTTAGCAAATTCTATCTAATTTAGACAGAAGCTAAAGGTAGAGGTCAAATTGATCTAAAATTTGATAGTTTAGGTGTAAAATTAATATAATTAAAAGGACATGAGTTAAATTGATTATTAAGTGATAGTTTGAGAGGCAAAATAAAATTTCTTTTAAGCTTCAACAAAAGCAAAAAAAAAAAAAAAGGTGTCTAAAGTAGTTATTTCTAGATTTCCACACAAGCTCTTTTTCTTCTATTTTTCAGTATAATATTAGGTCTGTTCAGCATTCATGTAGCTAGGTTCTTTCCAAAAACTTCCCCAAAGCTAAAGATCAAAGATAAGGGGATTAGTTTTTCTTCACTAATTAAGACACAAAGATCTTAACCTTAGCATGTGGAACGGACTCAAGTCTACCATCATTTTACCTTAAAAAAAATTACATATATCGGACTTAATTACGAAGATGTCCAAGTTCAAAGTCTATATAGCATCAATGAAATGGGAACCAGTAGAAAAATTGTGTATAAATTAGAGCCTTGAACACCCGTTAGTTATCTACCAAAGGAAAAAAGGAAAAAAGAAAGGCAATGGGACCTTTAGAGAAACCACTTTGCCTTTTTTCCTTAGTCCTGTTTGTTACACTCCTTTCTTCAACCATTAATGTTGCTTCTGCTTCTGCTGAAGAAGCTAATGCTTTCTTCACATGCAAAGCCAACCTGGAAAGTGCAAATGATTCCCTGTTAACTTCATGGATCCTTCCACCCCATGATAGTGGCTCAACAAATGCCAATCCTTGCAATTGGTTTGGAGTTTCGTGCAACCTTGGTGGAACCGTCATCAGATTGAACCTCACAAATTCAAGTGTAAATGGTACGATCGACAACTTTTCATTTTCATTGTTTCCCAATCTTTGCAAATATCGAGCTTAGCATCAATAAATTCTTTGGTGTCATCCCACCTCTAATTGGTTCCCTCTCCAAACTCATCTATCTTGATTTGTCCACCAACCAGTTCTCAAGAAACATCCCACCAGAAATCAGCCTGCTAACAAATCTTGAAACTCTCTACTTGTTCGATAATCAGTTGAATGGCTCAATTCCTCAAAAGATAGGCCAGTTAAAGTCTCTAATTGAGCTTGCTTTGTACATCAACAGTCTTTCCGGTCCCATGCCTACTTTAACCAATTTGAGAAACTTGACTCGTCTATATCTCTATGGAAAAGATCTTTCTGGTTCCATTCCTCCCGAAATGGGAAACCTAGTCAATCTTGTTGAGCTCTACATGGATGGCAACAATCTCACAAGTTCTATTCCTTCCACATTGGGAAACTTGAATAACCTAATTGTGTTGCACTTGTTCAACAATTCCCTATTCAGTTCCATTCCCCAAGAGATAGGACAGTTGAAATCACTATTGAGCCTAACCTTTCAAACCAACAATCTTACTGGCTCAATCCCAACATCTTTAGGTGATTTTAGCTCCCTAGCTCAACTAAACCTCTGGAATAATCAACTCTCCGGTCCAATTCCTAAAGAACTAGGGAACTTTAAGTCCTCATTTATCTAGAATTGAGTTCGAATCAACTTAGTGGTCCCATTCCAGCTTCTTTAGGTGATTTGACCAATTTAGAAATTCTAAACCTCCACTCCAACCGACTATCCAGCCACATTCCATAGGAATTTGGCAATTTGAAAAAATTGGTTGAGCTGGTACTGGATGAAAATCAATTTTCTAGCAATCTCTCAGAGCTTTGCCAAGGTGGTAAATTTCACTACTTCACAGTGCACCACAATCAGCTCACAAGTACAATCCCTAAATGTCTGAGAAACTGCTCAAGCTTAGCCACAGCTCGCTTTGAGGGAAACCAACTCATTGGAAATATATTTGAAGATTTTGGGACTAATCCAAACCTGGTCTACCTAGATCTGAGTAACAATAATTTTTATGGCAAATTCTCAGAAAATTGGGGAATATTCCCAAATTTAACACTCCTAGTAAAAGCAAGAAATAACATCACTCGTAGCATTCCACCAAGGTTTGGAAAGTCAACGCAGTTAGAACGACTAGATTTATCTCCAAATCGTTTAGTTGGGGAGATCCCAAAGGAATTTGGAAAGTTGACTTGTTTGGAGTGGCTAATTTTGGCTAATAATCAGCTTTCAAGTCGGATACCTCAAGAACTCAGATCACTAAACTAAGTTGTCGAAACTTGATCTATCCACAAACAAATTTAGTGGGCCAATACCAGGTATTTTGGAGAACTATCGAAATCTGTTTTACTTGAATTTGAGCAACATGTTCAACCAGAAAATTCCATTATAGATTGGTAAGTTATTTCAACTGACCGAGATGGATCTGAGTAGTAACATTCTCATAGGGGAAATACCATTGAAAATCACAAATTTGCATAGCTTGAAGAAGTTGAACCTCTCCCACAATAAACTCTCTGGTCTCATTCCAAAGAGTTTTGAAGATATGCGTGGCTTGGAGTATGTTGATATCATACAATGAGTTGCAAGGTCCTATTCCCATGAGCAACACTTTCATGAATGCATTAATAGAAGCACTGCAAGGGAACAAAGATCTGTGTCGAAATGTCACGGCTTGCAGCCTTGCAAAATTCCTTCTGCATTGCACACACACACTCTAGAAAAAAGGACACTTGTTCTTATAATTGTGCTCTCTCTTGGTGGAGCGCTCTTACTTCTAAGTGCATTCATCGGACTTCTCATCGTCTTCGATCCAAGAAAGAGAAAGTTATAAGTTGAAGAGGGTGACACCCAACCTCCGAGTGAAGATTTGTTATTGATATCAATATTTGATGGAAGAGCAATGTACAATAGCTGTGAAGAAACTTCATCTGTTATTCGAGAGGACTGATCGAAAAGATTTCTTAAATGAGGTAAGGACATTGACAAAAATTAAACATCGAAACATAGTGAAGCTTTTTTGGTTCTGTTCGCATGCTAGACACTCTTTTCTAGTTTATGAGTACCTCGAAAGAGGTAGTTCGACTGTAATTTTCAACAAAGATGAAGAAGCTAAAGAATTGGATTGGTCTATGAGGGTGAATATTACTAAGGGTGTGGCAAATGCTTTGTCATACATGCACCATGATTGCACACTGGCCATTGTTCACCGAGACATTTCTAGCAACAATGTCTTGATTGATGAGGAGTACGAGGCTTGTGTTTCAGACTTGGGCACTGCCAAGCTTTTGAAGCTAGATTCCTCCAACTAGAGTGCATTTGCAGGCACATATGGATATGTTGCACCAGGTAAACATAGTTTTAAGCTGTCCTAAATTGGTACATAATCTAAAGTGTAACAAAACAAGTGCATGATCATGTCTCCCTTTTTTTTTTTTTGCAGAGCTTGCTTACACAATGAAGGTAACTGAAAAGTGTGACATTTATAGCTTTGGTGTGTTGGCACTGGAAGTGATCAAAGGAAAGCATCTGGGAGACTTCATCACCTCCCTGTTGACCGCAGCTGTTAAGAATATAAAGCTAAAGGATGTGTTGGACCAACGCCTTTCACCTCCCTCTCCTGAAGTTGAAGAGGTAGTGATGTGCAATGTAAAATTGGCAATTGCATGTTTGCATGTCAATCCACAATCTAGGCCAACCATGCACATTGTTTCTCAATTGTTATCCACCCGAAAAATTCTCTAGAGCCTCACCTATGTGCACAGAATTGCTGCCCATGAAAATGCGCAAAATTGATTGCTTTCTATTATGTATATTTTTCCGTGCACTAATTTTGTGCACTTGGCAAAACTCGAGCCTCATAGACTTGTGCACTGACAGTGCAAAGCTATTTTGTTTAGTTAGGATATGTTAGATATTAGATAAAATCCAATCCTCTCTATTACCTACTAAAATATACTTTTTGTATAGAGGTTTTTATTGTAAAAGTAAATATTGAGTGAAAATTAATAAAAAGAGAGATGTAGCCTTGGGGCTTTTGTGTGCCGTGGGTGTATGGTAGTAGCCCAACCACACACACATGATGTGGCTTCTCTCTTTATTGTCGTCTTATTTATTTTATTTTGCTTTGTTTTATTTTATTTTTCTAGAATATAAACCTTGTAGAACCAAAAATTGGTGGATTCTTTTATATTGATTTGAAAAAGCAATGTTGCTGGGATGCTATTTTCCATTGAATAAATTACGTATAAATTACCAAAATGGTTCAAATTTGATGTTGGTGGTGGTGAGTTTGTGGGGGTGATTCTGGTTTTGATGGTGATTTGAGATTTGGTAAATAGGGAGGGAGGTGGTTGTTGGCAGGTAAAGAGGCGGTGGTTTATGAGGGAAGCTGTAAAAGAGATGGGAGAGGGAAAGAAATTAACATGTTACAAATAACATCATAAATTTCATCTAATGACATACTGCAAATTTGTTAAACTAGACACAAATCTAAATCTCTAGTACATGGTGTGGTTTATGAGTGATAACCAATATATTTGTGCTACGCCTCCAGTATTGTCACTATAAATCTAAATCTCTGTTTTTTATTTGTTTTTGTTTTGTTTCGGATTGTGAATCTAAATCTCAGTTTTAGTAAATGAATTTTAACAAATTGTATTTTAATATAAAGATTGAAGATTGTAATGAGCTTAATAGTAGAAACAGCTATAGCAATACACACAAGTATTCTTATATCATCTTCTAAAAGGAAATTTGACATTCTTCTTTTCCATTTATGAGGGATCTCAAAAATCAATTGCAAAATTAATCTCAAAGCTTTTGACAGGAAACCCTAAAATTGGGAAAACCAAATGATTAATTTCAAGCATGTAGAGATTTATCACAAGAATAATGTTGTTGTTACCTGGCAATGAGGTTGAGATTCTGAAAGTTGGCTCCGTAATCGATGAATTGTTGACGAGCAGCCCATTGGAGTTTCCTCAGGATTAGGTGAACGATTCAATGAATAGCGATGATGGATGCAGCGTGTTCTCTCTCTTCTAGGACTAAAAGCATCCCCAACAACAGTACCCTATCATCAATTTTTAGCTATTTTAAGGGGTGAAAATTCAAAAAAATCATTCCCGACAGATTCCGGTCTTTTTTGAAAACAATTTAAACTTTCAAACTTTTAATTTATTTTAAATTATATTTTTAATTTACTTTCAAACTTTTAATTTACTTCCAAACTTTTAATTTATTTTGAAAATTCAAAAAAAATCATTCCCGACAGTGTGTTTGGTTTGAGTTTTCTGGATTAAGTTTTTTAAAAATTGACTTTTTTTGTTTTCGTGTTTTTTTGTTTTTAGTGAATATTTTTTAAATTTTAAACTTTTTTTTAATTTTTTTTAGATGCACCTTACTTAGATATATCTAAAAAGTAAAAAATTTATAAAAAAATATTATATTTAGTGAATTTTTAAAAGATTTTTTTATAATTTTTTACTTTTAGGTGTATCTATGTTAGATGTGTCTAAAAAGTAAAAAAAATTACTTAAAATATTAAAAAATTCAGTAAACAAAAAAAAAACACGAAAAATAAGAAAATAGAATTTTCTGAAAAGTGTTTTTGGAAAAATGGAACCAAGCAAGAAAAAAAATACGAAAAATAAGAAAATAGAATTTTCTGAAAAGTATTTTTTGAAAAGTGAAAACAATTTTTTTATATTATATATATATATATATTTTTTAAATATGTTAAAAAATTAAAAAATTATTTTTTAAACATCTTTTCAAAACATCCTAAAATATTCATTCCCTAAACATATAACCTTTTTTCCTCTTTACTCTATCTAATCTAACACTATGATGTAACAACATCCTTTTTTTCCTCTTTACTCTATCTACTTATATTTTATCTTAAAATATTATTAAAAAATTCATTCTCTATTTTAAAAATCACTTTTTCATTTATTTTTTTCAACAAACTCCTTATTCTTTCTCTATTCTAATAAAATATTATTTTTAAATATTTTATATTTTATATTTATATTTTTGGAGATGGAGATGCTCAAGAACTAATAATGGTTGAATAAAAAATAATTTTATATTTTTTTGGAGTGAACAGTTACTCCCTACATTCAGGGAGCAATTGTAGTATTTCTTATAATAAGAAGTTGCTTTTGGAGAGTTGTTGAGGTTGATTTTATGAAGAAAGACTCTCTAAAATAGGTAAGAGATGGATTTAGAGGTTCTAATGGGGATGCTCTAACATTCTAAAAAACAAAAATTTGTTAGTATATATATATTTTTAAATGTAACATTCTAATATAACATTCCAACAAATAATAAAAATTAAGGAAATTATGATATTAAATGAGTTATTATATATCTAAAAGGACTAAATAGATCACACACAAAAAAAAATATGAAACTATATAAATCACAAGCCCAAGATATGAGATTTATTGATCAATCTCTCGAAAAATAAGTTTAATTGAATAAAAATAATAAAATAATATTTAAATAAAATATTAAAAAAATAAGGTGTATTGTTAAATAAAGTAATTAAAAAAGTGGTCACCTAAAATAGGGAAGGCATAATTTGAAGAAAATATAGGTAACATTGTTTTTGGATAAATTACATTCACACCCCTTGAGGTTTCTGTTTAATATAGATCCCTCTCACATTTGAAAAGTTACATTTCCCTCCCTGAAGTTTGTAATCTCATTACAAATTACGCCTTGAATTATTGAAATCATACTCTAAAATTTCTAAATGACCATCTTATTATTTTTCCTACCATGTCTTCTTCTTATCATCATGACTACATTTTACAACTTTTCATCATTAAATTCTACCTGAAAATATTCTTATTGAGTGATAATATATAAATATAAATTTTATATAGAATTTTCAAACACAATGATATAATTTAATGGTAACCTTTCACTTTAAAACAAAACACCCATAAACATGATTTATATTTACAACAATATCACTATTACAACATTTTTATGATATTTTTTTGTATAAATTTTTATATATGAATATAATTTTTCAATTTTATTTCCTCCATTATATCTAGATTAGATCAATCTAATCTAGATATATTTAAAAAGTATAAAATTTGTACAAAAATTTTTTAAAAAAATATTGAATACAACAAAATAAGATAACATATTGATTTTTTGTATTTGGTGAATTTAAAAAATATACAAAATATTGTACTTCTTAAGTATATCTAGATTAGGTGTATCTAAAAAAATTTAAAAAAAAAAATTGCTTAAAATATTTAAAAAAATTCAATAAAAATAAAAAATCATAAAAAATAAAAAAATTAATTTTTTGTGTGAGTTAAATCAAAGAAGATGATTGTTATTTCCCTTGAAATAACATGAACAAAATATCTGTATTATTTTATTATTTTATATATATAAAGGCTAAGGGGCAAATATGTCATTTTTATTTAAGAAGGGATAAGTATAATTTTTCAAATGTGAGAGGGGGATTTGCATTAAACAGAAACCTCAAGGGGTGTCAATGTAATTTACCCTTGTTCTTTTTAGATTGAGATATAGGTAATATTGTTGGAGATGCTCTAAATCGGTGGTGCGAAATTTCAGATAAACTGGATGAACTTCTATTAAATACTCTTCCATTTAAACTAACGACATCGTTTGGGAGATTTCATCCAAAGCGACAAAATGACATCATTATTGGACTAAATTGGGGTGAGCTTCTCTTTGCAGCGCAGCAGCTAAGGGTGTAAATATGGCTCGGCCTGGGTCAGCCCATGATGGGCGTATGGGCTCCTGCTCTTTTTTTTTTTTTTTTTTTTTCAGGGCTCGGCAGCGACTGAAAAGTGGGGCCTAGGCCCACTCAAATTAGGGCCTTGTGCTTGGGCTTAGGGGCCGGGCCTTTTTTTTTTTTTGTTCTCCATTTTATCGATGTATATCTCTAAAAAAATAAACGATAAATATATTATGTATATAGATTATTTATAAGGGATAAAAAAACAAAAGAAAAATTATACTAAAGTATTTTGGTTAAGATTAATGAGATGTTTGGTTATGTTTCATGTATGATGGTATTTAATTAATTATGTATGACTTATTTTTTTTGGTTATGAACTTATGACTAAAAAAGTATGAAATTATGTAATTTTCTTCTTCTGAAATGAATAGTTTTATATATATCAAAATGAAACTTTCAATATTACAATCATTAAATTAAATAGATAACATTTATTGAATGAAAAATTTTTATTTCAAAATGAAATAAAATATTACAAAAATTTATATCAATAAATAAAAATAAATGTAGATTATTGATGATGGTAGAACAATTGCATCACTATAGATCAAGTACATCCCAATTAGGTTGGCACCTACTAGCCTACCAATTATTTGCATTATACTTCATCTCAATAATCTAATACAAAAAATAACGAAATGAAATAGTGAAAAACAAATTGTTGATAATTCATCGGAGGAGGCAAATAATTCACTCGCATTGCCCGAGGATGTCATCCAAATCGCTTTGAATTCTCTCATTTTTACAATAATTTTGTCTTCTCGTAAGCGCATGCATACAATCTCTGGATATCATCAGTGCCTCAATTATTTGGGGTGAAAGCCTGCTACAGTAATCGTTCAACACCTATCTACTTACATTAAAAGCTATTTATGAAGCAAATGTAGAAATAAGAACAGTTAGTGTATCACAGGCCATCTGTGAAAGTACAGGCCACATAGTTTCATTTTGTTTCCACCAATCCAAAATGTCAAAATTTTTGAAATCATTCATTGTTGGGCTTTCCAAATAACGTTGTAGTTCATAACTGCTTACGCTTGTATATTGAGATATTCTTCTACTTTTTATTGCTGAAAAAACACTTAATCTTTCGCCTCGAGATGAAGCTATTGGTGTAGTGTGTATTGGTGTACTTGCAGATGCAGCTGCCTTGTATTCTTCAAATAATGTTTTGCATGTTTGCATAATAATGGTAAATTGTTTTTTATCAGCGAAAATACGTTCTAAAAATTCTTGTAAACCAATTTTTTTTACTTAGGATCAATTATTATGACTAAACCTAAAAGATGAGGCAATGGATCAAAAAATTTATCAAATTTTTCTTTCATTGTAGTAATAATGGTTACATAATATTTATTATCCATATATTTTACGAAAACTTTCATTATTTCTGCTAACATATGTAAAACAAATGGTGAAGTAGATATATATATATATAAGAAAATCATATTGTTGCAGTATCAAAAACTTTTAGAAAATATTTATATAAGGTTACTTAACGCAAATTAAGTTCTATGAAAGTCAATACTCCTCTTATTGCTGTTGTTGTAAAAAATAAATTGATTGTTTTTCTTTGTTTACAAGCTCTTTTTAATATATTATACATTGAATTCTACCTGCTGTTTACATCTAAAATTAATTTTTTAAATGACATACTTTTTCATTGACAAATTTTCTTGTATTCCAAAATTCGATTAGTAGAGGACATAATAGTAACAATCACATTTTTTATCACCAGTATAGAAGTCTCATATGCATGCATAACTTCTTTAACAATCAAGTTTAAAATATGGGCACAACAAAGAACATGAAATAAATCACCACCAACAAGTAATTGTAAAGTTAATTTCAAATGGGTTATAGTCGGATTGTAATATGTTACATTATCTAAACTAATAGTAAATATTTTATTTACAAAGCCCACTCATATAATGCATTTCTTATTTCTATGCTAAGTGAATGAGTAATGTATGGAAGTTCAACTAATCTAAATAAAATAATTCTTTTATTTAATTTCTAATCATTATCAATAAAATGTGCAGTGATACATTGATATTGTAAACCATTATTGGACCATAGATCAGATGTTAAAAAAACTCTTCCATTCAAATTTTTGAAGATGCCAAATAATTCACTTTTAATATCCTCAAATTTCTTTAAAATCTTGTTTCTAATAGTATTTCTTAAAAAACTTTGATATTGCGGTGCAAAACTTTTGTGAATCATATGTACAAAATTGGGATATTCACTAAGTAGTAAAAGGTTGGTCTTTCTAATAATATAATTAATTACATAATTTTATG